GAACCTTTGTGGCCAGGAACAGATTATAGAAAAAGGCACACTGGTTGCTACTTGTGAGGAAGTGGATTGGTTACGTCAGTACCAATATCTATCGACTGGAACCAACAGCAAGGATGCACAAAATAGAGTGAGCACACTTTTAGAAGACTGTCGCAGCGTTCTCTCCCCGAATGAAATGGTCAAAGCGAAGAAGTTGTTACTCAAGTATGCCGATGTATTCTCATAAAACGATGCTGACATAGGAAAGACTGGCTTAGTTCAACACAAAATAAACACAGGTGAAGAATTGTCTATCCGTCAGCGGCCAAGAAGATTGCCGGTAGCACGTGAAAATGAAGTGGAAACCATGATTGAGGGAATGGTGAAGGATGGTGTTATTGAACCTTCGTCTAGTCCATGGTGTTCACCCGTGGTACTGGTATAGAAGAAGGATGGCAGCATGCGGTTTTGTGTTGACTACCGCCGTCTGAACGACGTTACTAAGAAGGACAGCTATCCCTTGCCAAGAATTGACGACACGCTGGACATGCTTACAGGAGTAAAATGGTTTAGCACGCTAGATCTAAAAAGTGGCTACTGGCAAGTTGAAATTGACCCTAAGGACAAGGAGAAAACTGCGTTCTCAACGGGAAATGGTTTGTGGCAATTTAAAGTAATGCCGTTTGGGTTGTGCAATGCTCCAGTAACGTTTGAAAGGCTGATGGAACTTGTACTTACCGGGCTAATTGGCGATGCCTGTCTGGTCTACTTGGATGACATCATCATCGTGGGCCGTACGTTTGAGGAACACCTTTAAAACCTGGAACGCGTACTCATGAAGATTCAGAGTGCCAACCTCAAGTTGAGTCCGAAGAAATGTTCGCTATTCAAACGGCAAGTCAACTTTTTGGGGTATGTAGTGTCGGAAGAAGGTATCCGCACGGATCCAGAGAAAATCGTAGCTGTAAGGGATTGGCCAGTTCCAAAAGACAAGACGCAGGTTAGAGCATTTTTGGGTTTGTGCTCCCACCTGCTTTTTGGGTTTGTGCTGTTACCGGCGACTTGTGAAGAACTTTGCAGATATAGCCAAACCTCTGCATAAGCTAACCGAGGAGAAGCGACATTTCTGCTGAGATGAAAGTTGCAATATCGCATTCCAGGAGCTCAAGGACCGTCTGTGCAAAACACCTATTTTGGGATACCCTGATGCAAGCAAAGAATTTATAGTTGACACAGACGCAAGTGATATAGGACTTGGCGGTGTGTTGTCTCAACGGAATGGTGACCAAGAGGTCATGATAGCGTACTTCAGCAAGTCGTTGTCAAAACCGGAAAGGAACTATTGTGTCACAAGACGCGAATTGCTAGCTGTGGTAAAGTCGTTGCAGCATTTTAGCAAATATCTTCTGGGGCGAAAATTTCACTTACGAACTGACCATGCTGCACTAAAATGGCTATTGCAGTTTAAAAATCCAGAAGGACAAGTTGCGAGGTGGATTGAACTACTGCAGGAATACGACTTCGAGATCGAACATCGCAGCGGGAAATCTCATGGCAACGCAGACGCATTGTCAAGAAGACCTTGTCCTGATGATTGCAAACATTGTACTAGGCAAGAGAGTAAGGAAGTGGTATCCGTGAGGATGCTCAGGGCAGACCACCTCAGCAACGAGTGGAAGGACAGCTTACAACGTGCACAGTAGGAAGATCCGGACATCAAGCCGATCCTGAAATGGATGAAGGCCAGTGCTCCCAAGCCCAAGTGGAGCGACGTCTCAGCGATGAGTTCGACCACTAAAAGCTATTGGGCCCAGTGGGACAGCTTGCTGCTTCAGGATGGAGTTCTGTGCCGTAAATGGGAAAATGTTCGGGGAGACAGCTGTCATTTACAAATGGTTGTCCCTAAAGCTAAAGTACCGGATGTTCTACAGCTGTACCATAATGATTATTCAGGAGGCCATCTGGGAGTTAAACGAACTCTACTGAAGATCCGAGAACAGTTTTACTGGGTCCAGTGTCGAAACGATGTCGAGGACTGGTGTCGCAAACGTACAAGTTGTGCGTCTGTAAAGGGACCTCAGACTCGTAGTAGAGGTGCATTGAAGTTGTACAATGTTGGTGCACCATGGGAGAGAATAGCCATTGACGTGGCGGGGCCGTTTCCGGAGAGTGAAAGCGGTAACAAGTATTTCATGGATTACTTCACTAAGTGGCCAGAAGTCTTCGCCATTCCAAATCTTCCAAATATTGCAACTGTTGAAGCTTCTTCAACAGTTGCAGATAAACTAGTTCATGAAGTCTTCTGTCGTTTTGGAGTACCTTTAGAGATTCACAGCGATCAAGGAAGGAATTTTGAATCTCAAATATTCCAGGAAACTTGCCGAGTTATGGGTACTCATAAAACAAGAACGACTTCTTATCACCCGCAATCTGATGGAATGGTAGAACGATTTAATCAGACATTGAAGAGGTACCTAGCAAAAGTTGTAGACAATCGGCAACGAGATTGGGACAAGCACATACAACCGTTTTTGTTGTCATATCGAAGCGCTGTTCACGAAAGTGCACAGCAGTGACACCAGCTTTCGCAAACTTTGGAAGATAATTACGGCTGCCTGCAGACCTGATCACCGGGATACCACCTGATATTCCACGTAGTATAACCAATTATGCAAATGACTTGCGGAACAAAATGAATGACATTTATGAGCACGTCAGACAATCGGGCCAGCAAATGTCTGAAAAGATGAAAACCCGGTACGACCGCAAAATGAACAACAAGGGGTTCGACGAAGGTTCACTAGTGTGGTTGCATAATCCCGTCCGCAGCAAAGGGAAATCTCCAAAGCTTCAAGCTTAATGGGATGGCCCGTACCGGATTGTGACCAGGATCAACGATGTAACCTACCGGAGCCGTTACAGAAAGGCGCAAGAGGGACTCCTAAGATCGCCCACGTGGATCGCCTGGCGCGTTATTATGGGGCCGATAATGCTCGGGACGAGCATGTCTTAGGAGGGGGGCAGTGTTACGCGCTCAAGTCGACGGCACTAGAGCCATCTAGTCTCGAACCGAAGAACTAAACTTCTTGAAGTTGAAACACGAACTCTCGGTACCTTGCGCGTGTTTACTTGAATATTCTGGATATTTCGCTACTAATTTATATAAATAGGCGCTGCAAGATGCGATCGGGAAGTATTGAATTTGGCGAGACAAGCGAAGCTTCGGAGCGGAATAAAGTGAATCAGTGTGATTAATTGTTAGTGTTTTAAGTTTTAATTTGTGTAAAGAAAATTAAAGTGTTAATTTAGGTAATTCTATCGGCAATTTTTATTGTCACGAACCTCAAGCTCGTAACAATATTATTATTTAGATCCAGTTGGAGTTTCTATTGTATACTAGTTAAGGTTTTTATATTATGTCTTTATAAAAATATAATATCATTTCTTTATAAAAATAAAATAATAATGATAGTATATATTTACCGTGTAGTAGTGATGTACTCTTAGGAATATCCACTACCCCATATCATCCTGTGGGTGTTGTAAGAGGTGATAGAAGAAACAAATCAGGAGATGGGCGGCAACGTCTTCCTAATAACGACTAAAATTAAAACAAACTGCAGTTGTCAACCCGCTTGTCAAGTGTGGCAACTATGGCAAATATTCCCCCTATGAGGCAATATGAGGGAGATGCCTATGTTTAGCAGTGGACTTTATAATATTATATTATTAATGTATATATTATAAATATTATATATTTATAAATATTATTATAAAGTTCCAGTTAGAGTTTATATTGTAAAATAATTAAGGTTTTAATTACAAATAATAATATTGTTGTTTACTAGCGATCCACCGCGAGGGGTGCACTCATCGCACTTGTAGCACTAATTAACTCCCGCCGGATGACTGGATTGCGTAGAGGTAAGTTTAACTACGAGTCTCTTAGTCTCTTTACGTTAGCGTTCTTGATTCAATTTATATTTAAATCTTTTTGACCCTCATTATTCACAGTGACCATAATATGTCAACTGTAGATAATAATAGCGTGTTATTAACTACTCTAAAAACTGATTCTAACGATAACCTTAAGACTTAGGACATCCTCAAATCTATCTTTAAACAAGTGAAATTTTTAAAAAGTATGCGTTTTTTTAATATGCCAAGTTTTTTTTAATATTCTTACCATTGAGCTCATTAGGAAGTCCGTTTTAAATCAATTACTAAATTTGACCCGAACAGATGTTGAAAAAATAAACAAAAGCGAGTTAATAAAAATGCGACTAAATGTCTTCAAACCCGAAGTGATTTGAGTTAAAAATAAAAAAGTAGCATAGTTATACACATAGAATTCGAGTGTATCGTATATGTGGGAAGGGTATTTTCTTGCTTACGAAAAACACTTGCAAATAGATACATAAAATTTATAAATAATTATAAAATAGATAAATAGGTGTTGTAAAACCAACAAATTGTTTTTATCTGTGTGTCATATAGTCTGTGGTTGACGTCTTTTTATTAAGAAATAATACTGTGTGTAAGTATGGTACGCTTATTAGTAATGGCGGTTGTAATAGTAATTATTACGCAGTAGAAATTAAAGTGAGTTTATAAAGTGTTAGTTGTTTTGCTATCCAAAATCTTAACAGGTTATGGGCCCAGGCTCAACTAGATAAAAAATTGTGAAGTCGACGTATACATATTATATATTCACTACGGAGCAACTAAACTTACAAAAATTAAATGGCACTAATTTTGACACGTGAAAGTTCGCCATAAAAATCTTGTTAAGAAGCAAAGGAGTGCTAAATATTGTAGAAAGAAGCAAGATTGAACCCGAAAAAGATGATGAATAGTGGATAAGAGCCGATTGTATGGCTCAGGATATTATAGTTTCCCGAATGGAAGAAAAAATAATTTCACATATGTTATCATGTACAACAAGTCATGAAATATGGAAGAAGTTGCTTAGTCTGTTTGAAAATATTTCTAAAATAAGTGTACATTTACTACAACAGAAATTAAACAATCTTTAATTTGAGGAGCCCGTCAGTAGCTTGTTTTCTATCCTCGAAACTATTCTTATACAAATGAAAAATGTGGGAGAAAATATTTCTGAAAAAAAAAATCATCACATTACAAAAATATTAATGATATTAAAGATATTTATAGTTACTTTGCAACCATCCCCTCAATTAAGTAAAATGAATTGTCTTCCCTAGTTTGAAGAGCACTTCCCGCCCTCCCTCAATTGCGTGCAATAATTTCGTCACCACTAATTCCAGCACCACTACTCCCAACACCACTACTCCCAGAACCATTGTTCTAGGAAAGACACACCATTGACGATAATATGACACGCTAAGCTTAGCGGTCAGCTGCCGTAGAGTCTACATCACCTGAAGATGCCTCGTGTAGAGGCGAAACACGTGTCATATTATTGCTCTTTTCGCCGATGATACGGCACTCTTCGCCGCCCACAACAAAAGAATTCTCATCAAGATGCTCCAAGCAGCCGCCAACCACTTAGGTGATTGGTTCCGTTTATGGAGAACCGAAGTGAATCCTGAGAAAATTGTAGCAATAAATACTTTCAAAGGACAACCATTTTCAATCGTCATAACCCAAATCCCGATAAATCGCTAGGTATGATCACCTTGTTCGGCTGACAGATCATCTGGCAATCAACGGCCAAATATCCAGGGGTCACTTTTGACCACGGCATAACCTTCGCGAAACATATTCGCTCCGTTCTCAACCGTGCCAAATTCGTCAATAGTCGTCTTCACCTGTTAGTTAACAGCAAGAGCAAACTATCCAAAAGAATTAAGCATCATCCTTATAAAGCTTGCGAAAGACCCATCATGTCTTACGCAGGCGTTTTTTTCGTGAATGCTGCCCATTGCCATTTGTACGACCTCCAAATCGTCCGAAATAGATTCATCCGCATAGCTACTGGAGCTTGGTGAGCCCAGCAGAACTCCTACTTATACAGAGACTGTCAACTACCGACAATCTCTGAATACTTCAAGAAAATCCCTCTCAAAGAAGCGCTGAGACACACCCCAGCCCGTTAGTGGTAAACGAAGCCACCTACGCCTCGACTCCAAACGTTACAGAAAGTCTCCGGAGGCCCCGTAACGTTTTAATTGAACCCCTTGTTTCGCTAGATTCTGATGACATTAATGCAACAAACACAAATAGAACGTTCAATGGGAAGCAAGAAGTCCGCAGAAGGGCGCACCGCGTACCCCTCCACACTGCGTACACACCGTGTACCCGCGTCCCTGGGTGGTTCTCACCGCCAAAATATCGAACGATACGAGTTAGCCGTTTGAGCAGGGGGCCCACCACCCGGTGTTTGAACGACTGCTAGGTAACTCATTTACGTGCACCTTCAACTAACGTAGGCGAGCATCGTTACGCAAATAACAATGCAGATCGGTGCAGACATTTTTAATTTTTACTCTAAGCTTGCGGCCTGCGCACCGCGAGCCCTGAGACCGATGAAGCTGTAAGAGCTGCATAGGCTAACAGCACCAACATTATCCAAACCGGTACTTGGAGGAAGAAATGAATATTGTTACGAGCTTGAGGTTCGTGACGATAAAAATTGCCGATAGAATTACCAAAATTAACTCTTTAATTCACTTTACACTAATTAAAACTTAGAACACTAATAATTAATCACACTGATTCACTTTATTTCGCTCCGAAGCTTCGCTTGTCTCGCCAAATTCAATACTTCCCCGATCGCACTTTGCAGCGCCTATAAATACACATTAGCACCGAAACATACAGAAAATTCAAGTAAATACGCGCAAGGCGTCGAAAGTTCGAGTGTCGGCTTCTAGAAGCTTAGTTCTTCGTTTCGACACCAGATGGCGCTGTCGGTTGAAAGATTAGTGATGTCATTTTCTGGAAAGCTCCCCCCGCTCTCGTCCCTGACACTACATGACGTCAACTTAGGCGCGCAACACTATTCTGAAACATACCCGTGAGAGAGAGCCGTGGTAGCTCAGATGGTTAACGCTCGCTGTAAATATTACAGAACGCGAGTAACCCGGGTTCGATCCCCGCCAGCACCAATGAAATTGTCAATTGCAATTTTAAGTGCTCATTTACCACGTGCTCGGCAGTGAAGAAAAACATCGTGAGGAAACCTGCATGTCTGAGGAATAAGAAAAAAAATATTTCGAAGACATGTGAAGTTCGCTAACACGCATTGGGGTAGCTCGGTGGACCCTTCCTGGCCCTAAAACCCTCTAAGAAGTGAGGGGAGGGCTGTGCCCAGCAGTGGGACGTATATAGCCTGTAACTTTACTTACCTTTAACTTTATACCCGTGAGAAGTTTTCTGCGTGTATGAAGTTAGAAGCTATAGTATAGGCGTAGAAAAACTATTATAAAGTATAGGTATTGTGTGTATGGGAAAAACGAATTTGTAACAAATATGAATTATAAGAATTTTAATTAAGTATTGTTATTTAAATAGGCCATGGTATTTTGGAAACCAGACGCTTGTCCTAAAAGGACAAAGTCCAAAATCGCCCTGTGCAATAAAAACATCGGACATATACGATAATTAATTATCTATTTTATTATATTTTTTGCAAATACTTTTCTTAAGATGAACATGGACAAAACGAAGATTATGTGTAACGTCCATGTCACCCCTATGCCGGTAGTTGTTGGGAGCACTAAGCTTGAAGTTGTTGACGAGTATGTTAACCTGGGACAAATAGTGCGACTAGCTAAGTCCAACTTCGGCCGAGAGGTCAATCGACGGATTCAACTCGTTCGGAAAGTTACGACACATCTTTTCGTCAGCTATACATCAAAACCTTTAAAAGAGACTGTACAACCAGTGCGTGTTGCCAGTAATGACTTATGGAACTGAGACGTAGTCCTTGACTGTTGGCCGTATGAGGACTATCTATTAAAGAGCTATGGAGAGGCCTATGCTCGGGGTTTTTGCATGATAAACTTAGAAATGAGGATATCCGCAGTAGAAGCAGAGTGACGAACATAGCCCAACGGATTAGTAAGCTGAAGTGGCTATGGGCCGGCCACCTAAGAACCGACAACTGTCGGGAAGAAAGTTTCTCGAGTGGCACTTGATGAAGTGACGACCTGGTAAGACACGCAGGAAGTCAATGGATGCAGGTGGCTCGGGACCGTGCCTTGTGGCATTCCTTGGAGGAAGCCTATGTTCAGCAGTGGATTTCTGAAGGACTGTAATGATGATGATGATGATAAAGTGTCATTTCATCATTATATATATTAGAACGTGGATGTGAAATTAGGAGATATACAAAGGGAACTTTTTAAGGGAGTCACCATTTACTTTAAATTGTACAAAGATAAAGTCTCGGATTGCAAGCTTCAATAATAAAACGTGAACGATTATATTTTTTAATATATTTCGAAAAAAGAGCACAAAAATGTATTTCGAATCTTGAAAGCAATCCATTTTAAATGATGTCCATATATAATAAAAAAATTAAAAACTTACTCACTACTTACTTACTACAAATTTCAAGTCATTAAACACTGGGAAAAATGGCATTACGAAATAATATCTTAGAGAAAGTTAAGTCAAAAATGTGCTGTTTGGACGTTTAAGCATGGAACCTTAATATTATTTACACGTTTTTTTATACGTCATTTACACGGTGTTTTATCAAACGATTTTTTACACACCGTTTTAAACACCGTTTACACGTGACGCCACCACAAAGAGAGGGCCGAGTAAAACCAGCCCGCGAGTTAGACGCCGGGAGCGTTGTTTACTGTCATTGCAAAGCAAATACTCATTAGGACCTGGATTCCTTTAAAATGAAACGGGTAATAATTTTATTTTTTTTAAAATTTACCCTTTCACCCGTAACACAAGATGTGTGTGTCACGTACAAATTTAAACCTTTAAAAAGTTTTCGGGGAATGTTTATCAAAATAATTAGGCCTGTCGGAAAACGTTTGCCTAATAATAATCTTTTTACATTGAAGTAATATGTCCTTACGTAGTAGAACAGCTATTTCAAACAAAAAATGTGCGCTACACCGTATTCGCGCGGTTGGTTTTTTATCATAGAATAAACATAAGTAGAATGATCAGTAGGTAAAAGTAGATTGTTTTGTTAAATAGGTAAATTATATCGAGTATATTTTTTAATTTTTTCATTTATTTTGGATACTATATTTGCTAATTTAATATAATATTACATAATATTATATCACAATTACTATTGTGATATATACGATATTTTCATCTGAATATTTTAAAAGGTAACTATGTCAAACATAAAAAACATACTAAATATATGTTTAACAAATATAAAAAAACATATTAATATAACATTTAAATTAAAAATATATTTATTTAAATTAGAATAAGATTCGTTCATAATAGCTGGGCACGCGAGAGTTAAAAATGGACGAATTTATTCCACTTTAACTTTGATGTGGAAACATAAAAATGAAATAAAAGAATAATGTGCAGATTTAAATATAAAAAATTAGCCTAATTATGATAACTTATATATGTTTCTACAACAAAAATTGTGCATAATAATATATTCGTCCTATACTTATGCACCTACCGAAATGACGCATCTGAACAAATTTCATAAATTTCATAATCTATATAACATTTCACGAGATGGCGTCTTAGGGACAATTTGTTTTATTATTAATCTATAATATTTTTTTTATTGATTAAGTACCTTATTAACCGATAAAAAGTTATTCCTTGGTATTTGCGAACATTACTTGAATTATTTGTGAAATATCTAGAAACACACCAAGACATATTTTATCGAAGTTTTTTTTAAATATAATTAAGCAACACGTGTCAACTTACTAGCTCCTAGCGAGTGACAGTAAAGTGCGGTGCTAACACAGCAATTGAATAGAACAGCGTAACTACGTGCAATGTCGCCTTTAGTACGTAGTATATAATAGCTCAATGTCTTTTTATGTGAATGTAGTGCAGGTAAATCGATAAATTACGCAGTATTACTTTATTTATTTATTTAAAATTAAATCATTTTTCGTAAAACATATTTGAGGAGAGTTTTCCTAAAGCAAAATATTTTCAAAAATGTTTTTTCAATACGTGTTTTAATTTTTCGGATAGGATTTATACAAAATTATTTACCAAATGTTTTAAGAATACAGGCACATATACATCAAATACAATGCATTGTGTTTGTACCAGGTTCTTTCACAAAAGCGAATTATCTTCCTTTTGTAATATCTTTATAGCAGTCATTCAAATTCGTCAAACTCACGTCTTAGGTATATCATCATTTTCATTCACAGGAACTGAATTTGCGCCAAACATTTCGTCATAAAACTTCTGAGACTCATCGTTCGGATCACAAAAAGCTAGCAGCTTTTTAACATCTTTTTTCCTTGAAGACACCATGTTCATTTTTAGATTTTTTGTTGTTTTATTTTTCGATAAAGTTTCCATAGATTTAATCCCTGGCTTTAAAATGGCCACATTGACTGGACTTTCCGAATAAGTTTCGCTTTAATAATGTTTAACTTTATTTCGCTCTTTTTCGTACTGCAAGATGCGAGCAAGAGTCATTTTAAAAGGTAATCTCGTTTTTAACATTTTTTTTGTTATTGACTTGAAATCGTATTTGTTCAACAATCACTTTTTTCAACTCCATGCTTCATAAGGATTTTACTTCAATCGTTTGGGCTCAAAACGAACTCTCTGTAGCTATGTCATGAATAGGAAAGTAATGAATCCCCTGGCTATATGCGTTACTTTTTGGTAAAATATGTGACAAGACGGTAAGAACGATAATTTTTTATTTTGGCTGCTACACGTGTCGAAAAATAGCTTCAAATTCAAGTTGTGTTCATTATTTTTGGAATCGATTTTCATCCAGTTCTTGCAAGTAATGCAGTAAGGCTAAAGATGTCTCATTGGCCCCTCTGCCAGCTTGTGTTTCTAACCATGTATAAAAGCTTCTATCTTCTTTAAGTTATTTTTAACATCCCTATGTGTTTTATGTATTACAACTTGTACAGCTAACCTTCTCGGGCATGTAAGACTTCTCCTACACTTATTTTAGGAAATGGTAGATTCTGTTGACAACACGCACTAGGGCAGTGCGATGGCTCCTAACCACAAACCTAAGCAAAATGTGAAAATGCTTGTGTATTTACAGGCATTTTCACATTTTCACATTGGGATATAAGGCTGTTACTTCAATTTTTAATTGAAGCAGAACATTTCATTTTTGGCACAGTTGCTGTGGAAACGTCGTGACCTCAGAGTAATTACAAGAATTTATTAAATTACTTTAAGATCGTGACAGTATATATTTGCAACTTTTGTATAAAATATTCAGAAATAACTTAAGTTGCCCTTTATTACTATCTTCATTTAATTTTTGCAACCTTTTAAGCAATTAGTTATTCTCGAAAATTCATTACTCCTAATTCACTGCCTTTTCATAGAACTGTACTAGGATTTAATTCCACACTACCAAGACGCGCCACTATACTATTTTGTATAATAGGCTACCACCAGAGATAAAACTAAATTGTGCAACCAGTGCGTATTGCCAGTGATGCCCTATGGAACCGAGACGTGGTGTGGTCCTTCACTGCTGCCCGTATGAGGACGCTCAAATTTGCTCATTCAGCTAGCGAGCTATGGAAAGGGCTATGCTCGGGGTTTCTCTGCGTGATAAACTTAGAAATGAGGATATCCGCAGTAGAACCAGAGTGACCGACATAGCCCAACGGATTAGTAAGCTGAAGTGGCAATGGGCCGGCCATGTAGCTCGAAGAACCGACAACCGTTGGGGAAAAAAGGTTCTCGAGTGGCAGCCTCTGCCGGAAGGCAAAGTGTAGTAAGACATGCGGGAAGTTGATGGATGCAGGTGACTCAGGACCGTGCTTTGTGGCATACTTTGGGGGAGGCCTATGCACAGCAGTGAACTAGTGAAGGGCTGTAATGATAATGATGATGAACAGAGATATTTCCGAACCAATATGACTTAAGGACCTTCAACAAAAGAATTTACTTCTTTGGCAACGCACTCGCAATTTCCCTGTTGTTCACGGACGGCAGAAATCAATTAACATCAGGTATCTCATAAAAAAATGGGACTGACTTTAAAATGAGTCTTCATGACTCAATTTAATGTCAGTCCCGCGCCGGTCCAGGGAATTGTGTCGGGAGTGCTGGCAATAATTGTTGTTATTCTAATAGGCATCTAAATAGCGACTACACTAGTCGGTATTAAGATGCCTATTAGAATAACTACATCCGAAGTAGTCTAAATAATGAAACACATAGCTTGAGATAAGTCACCGGAGCAGGACTGCTTAAACTTTAAGAATCTTTCGAAATGCGGGCGTTCATCTACCCAGGGCACTGGCAATGTAATTCACCATTCGAATTAGACATTCATATCTACCCAATAAATTAATAAAATTCACCGTTGTTTCTATCATGAAAGTTAAATTAGTTACAGGCTGATTTTCTTGACAACAAATATAGTTAAGATACTTACGGTGTGCTTGATATTGTCACTGAACTGAGAGATTTGGGTTGTACACGGAGTCAGCAATTATCTCATATGATGTAATAAGGAGTAAGATATATTTAGAAACTGAGTTACCTTTAGAATCCGTCGAGACATTCAGATATTGTTATGAAGTTTTAAAAAAGGGTACGGTATATGGAGTTGCTATCGAAAGTTTGCGAACTAGAATGTGGGGTGAGGCAGTGGGGCCTAACCTCACCCACCTCACCCCTAGTCTATTTAAGAACAGTAGTGCTGGTGACAGCTGTTCAGTTGATTCTGATGGATCTCTGTTGATCATATGATTCTGATGGATCTCTTCGATCAGTGCTCTTAGAAAATTATTGGCTACTTGTAAGCTATACGCTATGACTCACAGGCTCAGGCACAATCCAACTAAACGTAAATTGGTAGTGTTGAAAGCAGGTAACAAAACCAATTCTACCGTACCGCCGGTTTGTCCCAACAGCTTCCACCTCACTCGAGTGGCAAATTATAAGTACCCGAGCCACTGGATCAGCAAGGATCTGTACGAAGATTCTCCTTTTTCCTTTCATGTAGATTAAATTTTATTTTAAATTAAGCTCTTAAAAATGTTCAAAATTTTAATGCAAAAAATTAAAACATCAAAGTTTTACATTTATTACTTTTAATTAAACTAATGAAATAAACATATTATTTGCCTTACTTCTAGATATTTTGGATAAGATACTAACATGATTTTAAATATAATATACTAAGCAAAACTAATAAAAATGTGAACATATATTTATTATTAAGGTTGTAGCTATATCATATATCATATTATAGTTTTAATATGATAAGTGCTTTAGAGATCATGATTTGTTTTTATTTTTCGTTCTTAAGTATTTTAGTCCACACGGCCCTACAATTATAAATTGTATATATATATATATATATATATATATATATATATATATATATATATATATATATATATATATATATATATATATAGTAGTAGACTTAAATTTAGTTTTATTGACTAAATTAAATATAAATTCTTAAAGATTTATATAGTAAGAATATATCCCATATCGTCCCTTAGGGCGTCGAAAGAAGAGACAGAGGGAAACTATTACAGAAGATGGACAGCAGCATCTTCCTGAAAACAACTCAAAATAATAAAATCTGCAGTGACCTGCGAAGCGTAGCAAGTATGACAAGTTTTCCTTATGAGACTATCTATAGAATATGCCTAGTTGACTTTTATGGGCTGTAGTGGATTGATGGAATTGGTTTAATGGAATGTTTTATTTGCTGAGTTACGTACTTACATTACGTACGTTGGCATTACGTGTACTTTTTAACCAAGCCCGTGGTCGAAAATATTTGTATAGATTAGATCATTGTTTTTTCGATGAACAATAAAAATAAAAAATAAGTATACGTACCTAACGGTTTGTATGAAACAATAAAAGTACTTAGATAACATTTTACTTACGTAGTAGCACTACTTGTGCTTTTACTTTACAAGTTCTTTTAAGATTTAGACACCCAACTTGGACACTAAATAGCGTAATTTTAACGATGCTATGCGATGAAAATAATAAAAATCGGCTTAAATTTTTATGATATCATGTTAAATTTGTTGTGAAAATACACTTTTTGATAAGAGAACAATAAGAGATACTTTTTACAGAAAACGAGGCATTCCATCTTAGTCCTCAAGGGTGACAACTCATTTTCATTTTGATAATGTTGAAATAATACTAGTTTTTACAGAATTTATCGCGTATATACTACAATTGTATACTAAAATTGCGCTTGCTCAATCTCTTCTTCTCCCAATTGTGGACTATGCAGATGTCAGCTATCTTGATCTCAATGAGAAGCAACTTGATAAACTTGAGCGTCTTCAAAACTTTTGTATAAGATTCATATTTGGTTTGCGCAAATATGATCACGTATCTTGTTTTCGTAATAAGCTCAAGTGGCTTCCTATCCGTCTTCGCCGGAATGCTCATATTCTGTCACTTCTTTACAATGTTCTCTTAAATCCTTCCTATCCTCCTTATCTTAAGGATCGTTTTGAATTCCTTCACTATTCCCATTCGAAAGTTTTGAGATCATCAGAGAATTTTACATTAAAAATGCCTGCCCATAATAGCAAATTTATGGACAAGTCGTTTAGTATCCAAGCAGTCCGTCTATGGAATGTCCTACCTCTGTCAGTGAGACGCGCCCAGTCTTTACCTGTTTTTCAGAAACTTGTACACAGTCACTATCTTAATCTTTGAGTTCGTGCCATTTATATATGTAGTATACATTCGTATTTTGTTTTTGTATTTATTTGTTGTTTATTTCTAATTATATTATATAAAATAAGGATATTTTTATAAATATTGTTTCTGCATCACCAAACCACACAATTTACTATTTTTTGCGATCCTGTCCATCCAAAGGTTGTCTGGAAGAAATCGCTTTTAGAGATAAGACCGCCCATTGTGACACTATCTTTTTTTCTTCTTCTTTCGTTTATGTATTGATTTGGTGTACAATAAAGAATTATCTATCTATCTATCTATCTATCTATATTTTAACTTTTTAAATACCCGACGTTTCGAACGCTTTACAGCACTCATGGTCACGGGCAGGACTGAGATGTTCAACGTCCATCTGTCATAGTTAACCGCGGTTACCATAGATTAAAATTTAACTTTTGTTCCGATCTATGCAGTATGAACTTATGGTATCTTGAAGTCTTGCAGTTGTATGCTTGGGTTGGGATTTAATTTTATTTATTATAGGATCCCGAGCAGATGGTAGCACCCAGCCATCTTCTCTATTGAAATTAGGATGTTTTTTGATTTCAATAGCCTCGCGAATCATCCTTGGAGGGAATCGGTGTTCTTTA